TATATATATATATATATATGTATATGTAGCTGACAACTTTCCTAGTTGCTTTAACCAATGCTGCTTCACCTGGTGGCCAATCTTTTGTCGGTTTTGACGTTCATAATCCAGACGCTTGGTTTGGTAAAGATAAGATCGTTCATCTTTTCGAAGAATTTCAAATTTTATTCGAATCTAAGTATTTTTCAAGAAGTGTTCGTAGTAGAAGGTTATCATGGATGAAGGTTTTGGACGCTCGTTGTTTTGCGGTGCTGTTGCCGGATTAGCTGTGGATTTGACGCTTTATCCATTGGATACGATCAAGACCAGATTGCAAAGTGCTGAGGTATCAAAATCTTTCGTAATTTTCGTTGTTCTTCACTTCTAACGTACTATCTGATGATGGAAGAATGTGCCCTAAAACTGGGTGTTCAACACCTTGGAAAATATGAGCAATAATGAAGTCTTGGAAAGAAGTTTATAGGGACTCGTCGAAGTTGGGCTTAGAGCTGGACAGGATAAAAAACGCAGAGTGGATTGTCTTTATCAAGTTACGAGATGTCTTTTCAAACTTTAACGTAGCATTGTGTATGAAAACGAGCCTTTGCCAGCCTGAGAATAAGACATAAAATTCCATCTGCTGAAGAAAAGAAATTATTGCTGATCCAGTGACCCATTGAACGACTTATGGTAAGTGTTGGTGAGTTGTAGCACTTTTTCAACGAAGTGCTGCGATTTTGGTCCGGTGTGAGCGATACTATTAAAGCAGTGTACAAGGGGAAGAAAAGTTGGATTGATTGTATAGCAAGAGTGAGAGACAAGAATGAACGCTGAGCAATACCATTGCACTGTTAAAATAGTGCAATATTAGTGCCAATACGGTGAAAGAATCCGTTCGGGACGCAGTATGAAATTATGTGGATGAGGGATACGCAAAATAGAGAATAATGATGAAATCGCCAGCTGAATCATTGAAAAGAAATGTGATAACAATAGCTGATCGGAGTGATTTAATGCTGGTCTTGCAGGGATTCGCTGCATCAGGTGGATTGCGAGGTCTGTACCGCGGTATGGGATCGGTGGCAATCGGTTCAGCGCCTGGCGCCGCCTTATTCTTCACTTCATATAACTTCCTGAAGCAACAGGCTGGAAAAGAATGCAAGTAAACAATTATTTCAAAGGCCTAGTAATAGTCAGTATTTGATGAAACAAGCCACGAATTGACCCGTGTTTTCATCTTCCGTCTACGAAGCTACGCGGTTCGAAAAGGATCTTCTCAAGGTCTGCTGTCATGGAAGAGATTGAAAATTTTTTGGCAAACTTTCTGTGAGCACATGATGCTTTTCGTATTACATTTTGAACTTCTGGGAATTACTGGTGGAGATGCGAACGAAGAAAAAGAATCGCTTTTGAAGAAAAGCTTCCCTAATTGGAATGCCTGGTACAGTTGTGCTAACTTTGTGTGTGTGAAATAATTATTTTATTCCGGTCTTCCAGCTGCGCAACCGTTCCTTTAGCCATTGTTATTTCGCCTGGTGGTTAACTTGATGGTGATCTTGACAGTCATTTCGTCTCCTAAAATTCTCTCAGTAAAGTCATTTGGCAAGGATTTACCTGATTTGAGATACCCTTGGTGTTTGTTCAGCAATACCGGTTCGATTGTGCATTGCCGATCCTAGATATTATAGAATCATCTTACTGATTGGAAGACCAGAGTGTTCGTACAACCTTCGAAAGTTTTTAAATTTTCCATTTTGGTGCGTCTTGAGATGGCAGAATGGGGGAAGTCGCAAAGTGGATTTTAAAATGTTCAAAATTTCACTCCTGCTTTTTTCTGGCACTAAAAATTTATGCAAAAAATAATTCCTTTTTCAGAGAATGATAGCTGTGAAATGTGTAAAACTCAATTTTAGCTCATTATTTTTTTCTTGTATATTTATTACTCAGGAGAAAATAAACGACCATTCAAGTAACCTCTGAAAGAAGTGGCATACATGCATCGAACAGACGTTTAGGATCGAAGGGGCTGGCATAGCTGACGCCCAGCTTATCGGAGAGACCTCTGCATTTTTCGTATCTGAATCTTCATTTCCCGTTGGGTTTTATATGTCAAATCATTTTTTGACACAAAATTCAAACCCTCAAATAATTTTATTTTTTCAGCAACTGTAGTACATGCCTGTTCGGCTAGTGTGTCGGAACTGGTCGCATGCATCGTCAGGGTGCCAACCGAACTCGTGAAGCAGCGCGCCCAAGCAATGCATGCCCGCCGCCTCCGTACCATTTGCGCAGCAATTTATCGGCAACGAGGTACCATAAGTCACTTGCTAAGTGGGGTAGAAGCTAGTCACGTCGCATTTTTCAGCGCCGTGAAACATCCCTTGCTTATGTTTCGTTTCGCTACCGGGCGCAAAGAACAACGTTTCTGTTTGATTTTGCTCAGTTTCGACCCCAACGCATCCTTAACTGGCGTTTAACAGAAAATCAAAACCGCTTCCAGCTTGCTTATGAGCAGATCGCGGAAAAAATAACAAGGGCCAGAAAGGGAGCATATACTTCCACTTCCTTTTTACAGCATGTACTTCCACTTTTGCTACTCTGGAATGTCTCCACATCACACGAAAGGGCGAACGAAGAGTTCTGATTCTTTGAAACCTGAATCATTAAACGAAATAAAAAGAAAAGTTTGCGTTGGTCGAATATCCTAAATTTGCTGCTTAAGTATTCGGCTTTTTCCCCCTTTTATGTTTCAGGTATTCGTGGATTTTATCAGGGCTTTTGCAGTACTGTGTTACGGGAAGTGCCATTCTCGTTAATCGAGTTTCCTGCCTGGGAGGCATTAAAGCAAGCATTAGCAAGGTTAGTCAATGTCCAGCACTTTTTTTTTTACAAGCTTAGATAAAAATTTTTCCTCTTTGCCAACAATTATTCTGAATTTCTGCACAGATTTCCACTTACGAAAGACAATGCTTTCACTCGGGTTAGGGAAGTGTGTACCAGTTCCTTGAATTATTTCCTCTTATCTTCTTTAAAGCGTACAATTTTGGTTTTTTTAGGATCCGAGAAAGACGGTGCACACCTCCTGAATCAGCAGCATGCGGAAGTTTGGCTGGTTGTTTTGCTGCTGCGCTAACGACACCTCTGGATGTAGCAAAAACGAGGATTATGTTGAACGAAAATTCCAAACCACCAGGAATACTCTCAACAGTAGTGAAAGTGTGGAATACATCCGGATATAGGGGTCTTTATGCCGGTGCTTTACCTCGCTCGGTCTGGATGGGTGTCGGCGGTTTTGTCTTTTTTGGTGCTTTTGAAACCGCTATGCTTTTTGCCGAGAAATTTCTTCCTTGATTATTCTCTTCCTGGTTTATCTGAATATTTCCAAATTTTGATGAATATGCTGTATGCTTGATGTTCAAAACAGAGCAAACACTTCACCATATCCCGCTCTCTGTACCGTTTGGAGATATTCGGCCGAACTGATAGCGCTTTACCAACAACAATCGTCAGCTGGAAGAGGTTTCGGTAGCGCAAGGCATTGGAAAAGCAATTGAGGGCAACTCGGGTTCTTGGCACGTCAGAATGGAATGGATCAAAGAAGAATTGGTTTTTTGGAAGTTTTGGAGGTTTTAGGGGAAATATGAGGACCGTCAGTAGTGAACAAAGCGAGGCAGTGGTAACGCAGTTGGTAGAACAAAATCGCTGTATGCTGTTCACCAGTTTTCAAGATAGTACAGGCTGAAGAATAAGAACACTTGTACGAAGGCTTGAAGCAAGCGATATTTGATTCTGAAGCGTTGTTGAAACAATTTGCAAAAAAGCGAAGTGTATTGTATCCAAGGCGAGATTACACTTATCGCAGAAAACCTAAAAGCACTGCAGAATCTGCTAACTGAGCCTGTGACTGATGCAAGGAAACTTGGATTCAAAATCCACGGATGAAAAACCAAGCGGATGAACGCGTATTGCCTCCAGTTCAGCAGGAAACTTGAAAATCAGTCTGCTGAGCTTGTGGATAGCTATATTTGAGAATATGTCACATGTATTAACCAAGAAGTTATCATCGAGTTTTATGCATATCGTATGTGCAAATATTTTGATAAATGGATGTTATTATGAAAAAGTGAACATATATTACACCGACAAGAAAATGAAAGAAAATCTATACATTAGTGGTATGTTTATTTGTTCAGATCAATGACTGTGTCGCAAAAATCTTCCTCGTCCACAAAATCGGCTAGAATGATATTTATGTGTGACCGGAGGCGGTCGCCATTCTGAAAAATTCTTTTGAAAATAGCGCAGGAATTTAGTGTGAGTGATTTCTGTACTGGTGCTCAAAAAACTTGATTTCGCCTCCATATACATTGTATTTATCAGAGAAAATCCACAAGCACTACAGAATGTGTTGAATTTTTGCCCCGTACGAAGGAAATTGAACTCCGAATTCAAGGAAGAAAAACCAAGTGCATTTTTCCCAGTTCAAAATAAGACTGGAGAATCAGCCCGCTGAGCTCGTAAACAGCTGTAAGGAGTGATTTTTTGGGGAGAATTAGTAGATGGGAGCAATAAAGAGCGGACAAAAGTTGAAATAAAGAGTGTTTGGTTCCCAGATCAGCACTCCATCAGCGATGACGAAATCTCAAATTTGATTTGCCCATACATGTGGCATAGAAGTATATTGAAGATGAATTTGAAATCTTTAGCTTACACAAAAACATGGAACACCCAGTGTAATTTCAGTCAGTTTCCAAAGTTGCTTTCCCGCCAAGAAATCTGAAGATTGTTTTTAAGATGTTTAGATAGCAGTGCACTAGGAATACCCTTGTAAACTTCCAGCTTCCTGACTTCCACGGTTACTAATTTGAATGTGGATAACAAAAATTTGAGCATACATACATACATACATACATACATACATACATACATACATACATACATACATACATACATA